TGCTGGCTTTTCTTACCACATATTTTCTGTTCCATCTATTTTCTCAGTCACTCTCCTAACCACTTTTATGTAGCTGCTATCCTATTCCAGATGTTATTCTATAATTATACTTATCTACTTATCTTCTCTTTTTAAGGATACACTTTATATGCAATAAATTGTATCTATATAAAGTGTAAAATCCAATGAATTTTGACAAATACACCTGTGAAACTATCATAATCAAGATGCTGAGGATTTTTATTACCTTTGAAAGCTTTCTTACCTTTTTGCAGTTAAATCCCTCTCTCAATTCCTAGTTACTAATAATCACTGATTTTTCTGTTACCTTAGTTTATATTTTCTATAATTTTATATAAAGGAAATTAAACAGTATATACTTTTTAGTCTGTCTTTGCTTATTCAGCCTAATTGTTCTTAAATGTTACCTAAATATATTATTATTATTATTATAGTGATAATTCTGAAGTATAACAAATAATTTTAAAGTATTTTCAAAATAGAGAAATATTTAAAAGTTTAGAATCATTTTTGTTAAATGTGTCTATTGTATTTCAATTCTGATTTTTTTCTTACTATGATCTGGAACATGTCACATAACCTCTATTTGCCTCAATTTTCTGTCACAGCAGAAAATTTCTCTAAGTTTACAAATTATGTTTATAGAGATACACAGATACATATTCATAGGAAAAACATCTAGGAGAAAACTTCAAACTGTAACATTAATTGCCTAAGAGGAAGATGACTCAGATTGTTGGGAAATCAAAGGATTGGTAAGGATAAAGTTAATGTTAGCAGACCTCATATCTGGCATGGCATGTGGTTTTAATTTTCTTGTTTGTGCCACATGTTAGTGAATAAGAATTCAGCTTTTAGAATTAGACCTGGGCTTAATGTATTTTCTTTTTCTTTTTGGTGCTGGGAATTGAAACCAAGACCTCCTGCTTAGTAAGCAAGTGCTGCACCATTGAGCTAAACTGCCAACCCAAACCTAGCTGTGTACAGTGCATAACTTTCATTAAAAAAAATTCTTTATCTGAACCAGGCATGGTGGTGAATAGCACAATCCCAGCACTTAGAAGGCTCAGGCAGGAAGATCTTGAGTTTGACACCAGGCTAGGCTGTGAGATCAAGGTAGCCTGGGGTATACAGTGAGACCCTGTCTCAAAACAGACAAAATTATTTGTAAAACCATGGTTAAGAATGTGCCCTTTTCCCCTTATTACATATGACTGTTACTATGGTTAAGTGAAAATGTAAATGTTAGCTCAATAAAATAAACAAGAGATATAAGTATCCTTTCTAGTCCTATCATTTGTCATCATTACCATTACACTTTTCTGCCTTTTCTAAACTTTCTGCAATGAGCTTGTATTGAAGGATTTTTAGTACTTAGGTATCACTAAAAGATGATTTTATTCTTTATTTATATTTTAATTTTTTTAAGTGTTTATGTTATACATTATAAAATTACAAGTGTAGAGTGAACTCTGACACTGATCGCAGGCCAAGTTGACAGTTTTATAGGATTTATAAATATATGGGCAAGGTTAAAGGCCAAAGTGCAAACTAGTCTAAGGAAAATAAATGGGCTTTTATCCACACCAAATGCTTTCAAAAGATTTTGAGATTAATCTTTTTCATATGGATCCCTTTAAATCTCTTTAAAAATGGCAGTCTTTCAAAGGACAATGTTATCTAAGGTGACAAAATTCAAGAAAAGATTTTATGATAATTACTTAAATTCATATTTATATATATTTCATATGCAAAGGATTTTTCATTTGGATTTCTTATCAGCATTGTACCTATCATAGTATAAGTAAAAGCCACTGTAGACAAAGTGCTTTTATATGTAAGACAAAACAGAAAAGTGAGGACAGAGATGCTAGACAAAGATGGATGGACAAAGAATATACATGCCCATGTCTAAGAAACAAAAGCTTCATGCATTTAACCAAAAGTATAGGCACCAAAGGCTTGAGTTTAGATAACACAGAAATAACAATTGCAAATTACTCCTGGAAGTCAAGAGAAGTAAAATGAACAACACAAGCTTTCAGAATTACTCACTTTACTATTTGTAAGCACTTTGCAGTATCTCTTTAAACCATTTGGTTCTTGAAGTATGAAGCTACTATAGCAGCTTCAGCATCATTGGGAAATTTGTCAGGAAAAGCCAATCTTTGACCCACCTCAGAAATTCTGGGACTGGGCCCAGCAATCTGCATTTGGACAAGTCTCCTGGTCATTCTGAAGTATGGTATAATTTGAGAACCACTGCTCTAACCTTTAGTTTACAACTGTTGTCTCTGAGATATAGTTGCCTGAACTTATAGGCAATGATGAGAAAGGAGGTAGACAAGAAGATATCAGAACAAAAGCCTTAACTGCATGTATATGAATACATAATAAAATATGTTCACTGTTCTGTTAGTATATCTTATGTTAAAAAAATTTAAAGCATGGATTAAAATTTGTTTTGTAAGAGTATATAAACACTTTTCTGCTCTCCGAAGGTTCAATAAGTGAATCTATGAAATAAACTAATTGTGAACGGGTTAATAGGAGAAAAGGCAGACAAATTCGTCATGTGCATGGTAGGCATCACACAAAAGAAAAGTGAGTACACAAATACCCAGTAAGTCCAGATGCCTATATACCCTCTTCACAGAGGGGAGTGAGAAGAACGTGTAGGCCATTTAGGGGACAGTAAATGATTTTTGGAAAAGATGAATTAGCCCTCAGAAGAATAAGTGATAGACTGAGATAAAGACTGTCTGGGCATGTATCAACGTCTTTTCTCTTTTCCTGGTTAATGAAATTAATTAATGAAAATTGAGTTCCTTTACTGGAGAAACTATCTTTAGACAGATAACAGAACTTCAGAGAAAGCCCCCTGTGCTGCTTTAGGGAGAAAGACAGGGAAAGATAGAAGGCCAGAAGGTCAGAGAGGTCAGTTCTGAAGCTGCTTCTGAAGCCTTCCAATCTTCTTGGTTCAAAGTAATAAGCATGCCAAAGTACCATATTCTGGGGTATCCTTTTCTAAGTTCCAACGGTTTCTTTTATGAGAACTCTCATTAATTCATTTGTTTATTCATAGTTTTTGATATGATGTTCAGAGAAAAGTTTCAACCCTCAGGTTACCATTCTAAGATAAGGGTCTAATAACTAGTTTAAAAGAAAAAATCAGTATGAAGCTTCAGTTTTAAATCTGTTTCAGATAAGGAAAGACTTCCTAGCACAGCAACTAGCATTTTGGCATCATATTTTACTTTCTTCCTGGTTTTCTAAAAATGTTGACTGAGGTTTAGTTGAACTCAGGAAAGAATTTATGTTTGTGAAAAATATGCATAAATAATCACATTGATGAGATTGTCCATAGTGTTTTAGTACAGACATTCAGAAAACAGCAGCTACAGTAGAAATAGCATGACAATAACAATAGCTACACTGCATTAAGGATGTCATATGGGTACAAAGGAAGTGAGGTATTAGGCTCCCCTGATAGTTATTCTGGCTTGCAAATCTGGAAAAGAGCTCTGAAGGAATAGCTCAATAACAGAATGCTTGTTGGGAGTGTGTGTGAAGGAAGAGAAACAGAGAGGGGGAAAGAGGGAAAGAGAAAGGTAAATATGGGGAGGGGGAAAGAGGGGAGAAAGAGGGGGAAGAGAGAGAGAGAGAGAGAGAGAGAGAGAGAGAGAGAGAATACACACACACACAAAGGTGTCAGCCAGCCAGCCTTCTGAAAAGAAATAGGTAATTCATACATTTATTTTACTTTGTAACACTAAAATTTGCATGAAGAAATGTAAATTACAATATTCCATTGCCTAAGAAGTGTGACCATACCTAAAAGCATGAAAAAGATTCTTTTATGTGTTACAGTGCTAAAGAGGTTTTATTCCTTGTGAAAGCAGAAAAGCTGATTCCTAATACAAAACTGCTAATTTAGAAAAAAATGGCTGAAGTCCAAGGTTCAAACCTTAAGAGTAAAGTCCCTAAGGTCTTTGACTATTTAAAATTGATTCATAAAATCAAATGTCTTTTATTTTACTAGATTTGACCTGCTTTTTCCCATTGTTTTATTTGTTTTTTTATTTTAACTTGTCCTGCCTGGCTTCAGAGATACATTACTCTGACACTTCAGATCAGGGTTATTGGTATCTTCCCTAGAACTAGGCATCATTTTACTCAGCTGACCCCAAATGCTGTAAATATGTGCTGGTTGCATTCAGTGGTTTCATATCAATTTTAACGAGAAGGAATAAATAAAAGACCTAAAATATAGTCTTTCACTAATGCTCTGATTTGTATACTCATCCAGCGCTGTGAACACTTCTGACACAGCTCTATAGGCTCATTCTAGAGAGAGTAAAGGCTGTTGCCAGGCAACTTATCTGAGTCTGAAAGAATCTAAGCATTGATAATGAGTCTGTCTCAGTTTGGCTCCCACACAAGAAAGGGTTTTGGTGAAGTCCCACATGTGTTATAAGCCATTCACCAGAAGAGGTATTTCTAAAAGTGAGTGTTCTAAGGAGTCCACCTCAGAAATCTATTTTCTAATTCAAGTTTAATGTTTATAGTATGAGTATTTTCTGTAACTACAAGAATTTCAGTAGGAATTAGACATAATAGGGCATACGCAAAAGGTATAGTATTGAATGAACATTTTTATCCATATCTTCAACATTCCTCTTTGTACATGGCCACAACAAACTCTTCAATTATTTCAAATCACAAAAATAAATCTGCCAAAATTATTTCAATCCTTTTGAAAATTATCTTTCAAATTGTTTTTGGTTCTTATTCTAATAATATCAATAGTCAGAATAGGCTGTTCAGTAAAAAAACTGTGTTCTTTAAGGAGAGTATGTGATCAATTGCAAGAAATAAAAACATTTTTATGAGTAGTACACATGCAGAACAGTGCTCTGCTGGATGGGCTTGATCCAATCCTCCCTCTTTCAAAGCAGACACTTTGCATGCATGCTTACCAGGGCAGTATGCATCCACGTCCAGTTTCTGAGCTGAAGTGAGGGTTGGGGAGCCAAGCTCGGATTCTGGAATTCGTGGGCTCTCAACAAACTTTGCTTTCCTCAGAGGGGCTAAGGAGGAGAAAGACAGAAAGAGAAAGAGGGAGAGAGGAAGGGAGGCAGGGAAGAAGGGAGGGAGAGAGAGAGGGAGAGAGAGAGAAAGAGAGAAACAGAGGGAAAAGGAAGGGGAAAGGGAAAGAGAGAAACATAGAGGGGTCATGAGTAAGGGGAACAGCAGGCAACAGATGGAAGCACTTAAATGAACGACACACTCTGTCAGACTCAGATCAGGTTACCTATTTTTTTGTGCCAAAAAAAAAAAAAAGTAACTGCATTCTTAATAGAGAAGATGGTCTTTATTTAAAAAGTTACTGAAATGGGAAAAGCTCAAATCTAATATCTAAAACTTTGAGCACAAATTGTAGCTGTCTATTATCTCTGGTTATTTTCTCTATTTTTATAAAGCAAAGAACTTTCTTACCTTGGCTTTCTGTGCCATTAAATACAAGTATTAACTAAGGAAAGTACAGGACTAAGTTTTTAAGATTTTGTTTATAATAACTGTAATCAGGTTTTTTTAATGAAGAAATTACTCTAATACTCAGTCATGATAAATACCCAATGTGGGATTAAACATAAGGCATCAGCCCCATTATTAAACTATGTAGTTTAACAAGGAAATCAATTACCTTACTGCTCAGCCATTAATCTAAGAAATCAAAACTGCTAGTGAACTAAAACAATAACTAGGCTATGCCAATTTAACAATGATGCTAGAGATGTGATTTAGTTACAAATTTAATCATGAAATCTATGGAGCAGTAATATTTCATGCCATGGAATTAATTCATTATTAAAGATTATAATTCATAAATTTGAAGTTTTGCTTACTGAAAATGCATATAATTTTTTTTGAGGTGGAGCCATGCCCAGCTTGGTCTCAAACTTGCAATCCTCAAGCCTCAGCCTCTTGAGCACTGGGATTATAGGTGTGTACCACCAGACCCAGCAGCATATACAAATTTTATTTACTAATTTTTAAGGGGAAAAATTAAGAGATACCACTGATATGCATTCAAATAATTAGTTAAGTATTTTTAAATTATGCAGATTGCTTTGACACTTTCAAATTGAGTTCTATCAAATTACTTTTTGACAGTACCTTTATTAAACCTTAATAAGATGAAAGGCTTAGCACAGCCCTGGCATGAAAGTGTCAGCTGAATCTGAAATTGATTTGAATGCATTATATATTAGTGCCATAACTACAGGTATCTAGGACATGTGGATGTTTAAGACCTTATTTCTCTTTCTCAAAAGTTTCTACATGTTCTTCAAAATCCTCATCCATTATTGACCCACAGGGTATTTTAAGGTATTCCTTAAAGATGCTGCAAAACCTGTTATAAAATTTTGTCATTAGAATGGACAGAATTCCCTTTTATTTTCTTTGGGGAATAAAATGATAACATACTGAAATACTACAGGAAATATTTTTAAATGTGCCAATACTCAAAACCTACAGACAATTTACTAATTTATTTTTCCTGTAAGAACTTTTTAAAATTATTTATTCATTTATTCATATGTGCATGTATTGTTTGGACCATCTCTCCCTTCTGCCCCACCCCCCCCCTTTCCTCCAACAATTGAAATCATAATTTCGACCTTAGGTATGCATAATACTTTAGTGCAGGTTTAAAAAGAATACAAAAATGTCATTGTCTCCATGGCAACAAAAGCCATGCGTGCTAAGGGTGCTAACAGTATGGTTCTCCCCCAAAAGTAAGCTCTGGAATAGCAGAACTCTCATCTGTGTTAAAAAGTGTCCTAATTGAAAGATTTTCATGCAGGCTACTAATTGCCAATATATAAACTTTTCTTTATATTCTCACTATATTCAATATTGCCTTGTAAAGGAGAAATGATTATAATTTTATTCTTAAAACTCTTCAGCATTTTACTAGAATTTCATTAAAGCACTATCATGATATTGGAATAATTATTAAACCTGCTGAGTTCTGACAAAGCTACCACTGGCCCCTGATCAAGGACTCTGTATATATAAATTTTTAAATAACATTTTTAATAATAAAATTCGGAGTAATAAACAGACAGAAATCAGTACCTTAGGGCAGAGATGTAAGAAAGAAATTGAGAATAACAGAATAACTTGAGGGAGGTATGATGCATGTACAAGAATTATGAGATGGAGTCAAGGGGAAAGATCAAAGTCCTAGAAATCACATGGAAAAAAGGAAAGAGCTGAAGACTGTGAAGATAGTGTGGACTATATGGTATTAATCAAAACTTGAAAAAATGAAGCGTCTTACTAAAACACACTTTCTCAGCAAAGAGTTACCTTAGATTTGTGAAGCTCAATGCCATATTAACTTCTTTGTTTTTCCTTCTTAGGAATTCCAACTGAGGTTATCTTTATAGCTCACAGTGGAAATTTAATTAGTTCGTCTATCTATCTTCACCTCTACCTCATCCATAGGGTACTGTGCATGTCTAATAATAAATTTAAATTATTTTATAAGGTATATAATAATGGCACTCTGATCCAAGTTATAGACAGCCAGTGTTATTTGTAAGACAATAAAACTCAGGAGGTTCAATCACTGAAATGACAGGTTGTCCAATAGTCATAATACTGCTAAGTAGAGAACATTAAAAAGACAAGTTAGAAGATGGAGCAAAATATTTTTCTTAGAAGCCTAGAATTTTAATGTCTTTCCTATAAAAAACACTATATAAGATGATTCTGATAATTGTACATTAAGAGTTTACCTGATAGTCAGAAAAGAAAAGGTAAAAAGAAGCTAAAACCAAAAGTGGGTATTTTATTATAATATAAGAGATAACAGGGAACCACTGCTCTTAGAAGTAGTGTGAACCAATACTGGGAACAAAATTCTTAGCCTATAAGAAACTTGACTTTGAGAATCTGGCAGAGGTTGAGAGGAAGGATGCATACGGCTTTAGATATAGGCTTAATGATTTGAAAGATTAGGTCTTGGCTCTAGAAGTTATAACCAGTAAGAAATTGGGAAGTTATTTATCCTAAGTGTCAGTTTTCTTATAATCCCAGACTTGCTATAAGGCTAACTAATTCTAGATATGCAAAATATTAGATATAATGATATAGCTCACCTATAGGTTTACTAAGACATGGAACAGATGCTTAGAAAAGGTAAGCCAGTGGTTTCAAGACATAATATGCAGAGACAGTATAACATGGTAGCATACAGCAAGAATGAATTAAGGGTTTAGGATCTGAAACCACAAAGACTAAATTAGAACCCATCTCTTCCACTTTTCTTAGCTGTAAGAACCTTTCTGTGTGTAAGTTTATTCATTGGTTATTTTGGATTAATAACAGGACCTACATCATGGATGAGTTGTGAAGATTATATTAATTCAAGCAATATCCTCAAGCCAGAATAATACTGCTTTGCTGTTGTTACTACTGTCAGCACAGATTTAGCATGAGGTGGGGATCTTGAAATTTTTGTGTGTGTTTGGGGTGGTAGCTGGGAGACACAAAAATGTTTTGGATGCCAGAGGAGCATGAGAAGAACATCACCAATTATTTTTTGAAAATTGAGAAGGGTATAATGGTCAAGCAAATACATGTTATGCCATAGAAGAAGTAAAATATTTAAAACAAAATGGTCTAGGTTAGCTTATTATGACAAATAGGTAGGCAGAGAAAGAAAGTTAAAACAATATAGTTTAAGCTGAGAATAGTGGTACACACTTATAATCTCAGCACTTAGAAGTCTGAGGCAGGAAGTTTGAGAATTTGAGGCCAGCCTGGGCTACATAGTGAAACTCTGTCTTAAAACAAAACCAAAATGAAACAAAACCAAGATAAAACAAACTATAATTCAGACCATGCTTCTCTAAACACACTGTCTGGAATAGCAGCATAGTATCGTTTGGGAATTTACTAGAAATGAAAATTATTGGAGAAGGAACACAGCATCCATGTTTAGCAAGTCCTACAAGGTGATTCTGATGCACACTAAAGTTTGTGAATAATGGATTAGAGAACCCAAATAATACATGCAGAACTGATCACTGCGATGACTTTCTTAAGGAAAAAAACATCACAAAGTATAAATCAAGGCCTCAGTTTTGAGAGTATTAATGTGTACAGTTAAAGTTAGAATGTCTTTTCAATTGTTCTTCTATATAATCCCTTTTTTTCACAGAGGTGCAAATTATAAAGTATCCATCATTTGAGGCCTATTATGAAGGAAAATCAATACTATCTATACTCATTCATTCTTCCCATGATCACTCTGGGAGCAGGGGAGTGGTCCTCTGAAAAGGTAAAAGAAATTAGATGTATCACACAGGACTGTTAATGGTGAAACAGCAAATCCATCTATGAAGGTCTCTCTGTGCTGGAATAGTGTAGATGATGTTGATGCATACCTAATCCAAACAAATAAAAAGGGACTAAAACAGGAATTTTACACATTCAGCAAAGTAGTAGGATACGAAATAAATATGTGAAAATCAGTAGCATTTCTATACACACACAATGAACAGAAATCAGGAATGAGATTAAAATGAGAAAGAAATCAAGAAAACAATACCATTCATAATAGCTTCAAAAAATTAAAATACCTTCAGATAAATTTAATTGAAGGAGGTGAAAAACCAATACAACAAAAACAATAAATCACTAAACAATGAAATCAATGAAGACGTTAGAAGATGGAAGGGCATCCCATGCTTATAGATTAGAAGTATCAAAATTGTGAAAATGGCTATACTACCGCAAGCAATCTACATGCTCAATGCAATCCCCATTAAAATTCCAATGACATTCCTCATCGAGAGAAAAGTCAATCCTAAACGTCACATGGAAGCACAAAAGACTTGAACTAGCCAAAGCAATCTTGAGCAAAAAGAGCAACAAGGAAGGTACCACAATATCTAACTTCAAACTATACTATAGAGCCACAGAAATAAGAAAAAAAATCCAGCATGGTATTGACACAAAAACAGACATGAAGACCAATGGATCAGAATTGAATACCCAAACACAAACCCAT